AGACAAAAACGTGTTTTTAATAACTTTTTCCAAGAAGAAAACTAAACAAAACAAAAAAGGCATTGTGCAAATTGTACTGCTATTGGTAGTGTTATCTTTAACAGACTGAAAACATATGAAGGCATAAAACATCTCAACATTGCCAAAAAATTAAAGTGTAAAACTTAACATTCAAAGGCAAATACAGGATCCATTACAATAAACAATCCAGAGTTACTGAATGAAAACTTCCTGTTAGCATGGCGGCTAGCTGATTACTGCTAGTTCTGATTGGCTGTTTATGACTGAGTGGAGTAATTATGCAGAACAGGGAGGAGATCGATTATTTTTTCAGAGATTATCTGTCTCATGTTAGGACAGCGAAAGTTTTAATAGGTATGTAAAATGTATTTTTTTTTTTAGGTTAGATGCTGCAGCTTTAAGCAGGTTCGGTGTGAGAGTCACTACCAGGTGGACCAGAAGCGAAGCTCCATCTGTGAAATATTACTACCTGTAGCGTAGCAGCGGTTCAACAGCGAGAGCAGACCAGTGTCTTACATCGCAGCTCGAAGACTTAAATAATTTTGCGGGTTATTTGTTTAACTTTTTGACCGTCATGCTAATCCTGGTGAGTGTTTGTAGCTGTGCGCTGCTTTACCTGCTATCTGATCCTCCGTATGTCTTTTTTACTGCCTGGAGCCTCGATGTAGCCAAACTCCGTCAAGTATGGCAGTTTTTATGTCGTATTAGCTTCGTTGTGTTGATGCATTTTGACCTGCTTCAATTTTCCGCCGCAACACGCAAACTTCCCCATTCGCTCAGTGCAATATAGTTCCACATCGCTTAGGATTTGTTGCTGCGCGTTTGCGCAGTGTGAAGGAACGAAGAGACCAGCTGCACAGGCAGGCTGCGAAATGAGATGCAGGTGATCAGTTTGTGTGATCGGCAACAAGAGACGTGATCGGCGATCACCGATCATACACTTTTTCACGGCCGATTATGATCAGTGGCCGATCGATCAGCACATCTCTAATATATATACACACACACATATATATATATATATCCTACATTTTTTTATGAAATTTGTTCAATAATGCTAAATCTTAAAGTGTTATACTTAATTCAATAGATAAGTTTTTGACTAAAGGTATATTAAAATGTTCACTTTCTGTTACAAATAAAGATAATTTGGTAAATATGGTGGAACTTTTGCATTTGAATTCAAGCCTTCGCGCCACCGCGTCATGTCTGGAGAGGAGGAGCTTTAGTTTTTCCCTTCGTCTCTTTTAGTGGCCGTCTGGGTGGATGTGGGTTTCAAACTCCAGTTCTGACTTGATGTATCCCAACAGAAGTTTTACACAAACACAGACAGAGAAACTATCCTTACCTGGGACATCAATTATTTTCTTGTACACGTTCAAGAAGGCGGCCTCTGCTTCTTTACTCCTTTTACTCAAGGCGTCGATCTGCAAAGACGAAAAAAGGAAAAGGAACGGTTAATTATCACCACAAATCTGAGAGTCGGATCTACTGACCCAAGAAGAAGGCCCATTAAATTCACAGTAAGAGGAGCCTACATATCTGTCTATTCTCACTATGCTTTGGTATGCTGCCTGCAATGGCAGCCGTCTCGACGAAGGCGTTTCCTTCCCCGTGAAGCCAGTTCAGCTGTTCAGCTGCTGACGGATGCTTTTCGTTTGCCGTGCGCGAGCGCGCGTCTGCGTCGCTCTGTCCTCGAGTGAGTGTGCCTAAGTCCGTTTGTTAGCCTGTGTGTGTGGGTGTGTGTGTGTGCGTGTAAAACGGTGTGTGTTCGTCTCCCCCCTCCAGCACGCTGACATCATTAAACAGCTGGCTCAGTCTTTCCAGCCACAGCAGGGGCAGATTATTCAGTCAGCTCTTAGCAGCAATACAGTGTGGATCCATTACTGATGTAGCCATTAACACAAGAGAGCACGGCATGCATTCCATCACCAATAATATCGAAATGGACGGCATTAGGACAGATCCATAAGAAACTACTACGAAAAAAATCAAGCTGTGGAATTTCTGGAGGGTTTTCAGCGCGGCAGCAGGAAGCGGCGAGGCTCTGCTACAGAAGGTGCCACGCGTCCATATGAGAATCAGACGCGGTAGTCGAGAACGCATCTGAAATCTTGTCTAAATTGAGGGAAACAGATGCCAAATAAAGACATTCAGATGGTGCTACTGTACTGGGCAGAGCTACAGCTGACTACGCTGGCTGCCGCGCTCAGACTAAACAGCCCATGTGTTTCTCTTCCAGCTCCTCCAGCACGTTCACGTACTGAAAAGGAATGGAGACAAAAGCCTGCGCAAGTCCAAATATAAAGTCTTCACATTCCCAGCCAAACCAGTAGTGTAGTTGATGGGTGGTTTAAGGGGTTCTTGCCACTGTAAACAGAACAGGCTACATGTAACACTGCCTCGGCTCCTATGGGAACCTAATAAATCTCCTCACATGGCTTTGATTCATCTGTAGTTTTTTAGCCACAAAACATCTGGCCCCGAGTAGGCTGGTGCCAGCACCCCTCCTTCTTCCCCCCAAAGTCTTTTTATTTCTGGCTTTCTCTCAGTCTATCTCTTGTCACTTCCATGTTCTCCGACTCATTCTCCCCCCCCCTTCCTTTTCTCCCTCAATGATTTTCGGCGTCAGTCTCTCACATGTTTCTCTGTCACAGAACTTTCTACTCTCTCACACGGAAGCAAAAACAACTCTTAGAAGCGGGCCGGTTACCGGTATCGAGGTACATGGAGGTAAATTTAAATGGGCTAAAATTTTCCGTTGCATCGTTCCAGCAGTATACAGTGGTTTTAATGAGCCGCCAGAGAGAGTTCTGGGGCGACAGGAGTTTTAAAGAGCCCAGAGCAAGTCAGCGATTGCTGCACACTGCTGGTCAGCTGGTGGAAAAATTGCTTCCGTACAGGAAAGGCAAACTAAACGATTTGGAAATCTTTCCATTTGTGAAAAACTTGCATGGTCATCATAGTGTGGAACAAAAGGAGCGCCAGCCGTCACTCCTACCAACAAAGCACTGTTTTTACGACCATATGCTGCAAGCTAGGAGCTGCATGTCTGTTTAATCAGCGATTTGCAGGCTTTATTCAAGCAAACAGCCCAATTAATTAACCAGCAGAACAGGATCACTGATGAATTTAGTGGGTATTGATCCCAGGGTTTATCCAAATTTAACCAACTCAAATTTAAGATTTTTAAAGACCTTTTTAAAGACCATTGTGAATCAAATTTAAGACCTATATTACGACAGACAAAAGAAATGCAGGGGACCAAAACTGTAAAATTTCTGTAGTTATTTTGTGGCTTTTGGTAGCAGCTTTGTGCTTCTCACATGGCATATGCTAGCTAGCTATATGCTAGCTGCTAATGGCTTACTGGCTAGCTAGCTAGCAAGTTTTAACAACTCATTTCCGGTAGCCTTAACCACCTTGAGTCCAAGAATGCAGTGAGTGAAATTTTTACCTGACAGAAAAGTCCCACCAGAAAAAAAATGTCCGTCAGAGGTTAAATAGTTCTTTCATGACAAAATTTAAGACTTGAGATTAACGCATTTAAGGCCAACTTAAAATTTTTTAAAGCATTTTAAGATGTTTAAGACCTTAGTTTTATATGAATTTAAGACTTAATGATGCAGACATCACATATCCTACAGTTCTAATCTAGTCAACATTAAAATACAGTAAAAGTCATAGATGTTGTACACATTATTTTAGCAGGAGCCTGAACATTTATTTATTTATTTTATGTTTTGAACGTTCTGGCCAGACATTGTTTAAAACCATTTCAGCTTATTGTTCAATTGTATATCTGTGTCCATTAAAATTACCAAGACATAAGTTGCAAACACAGCTAAGGTTTCTGAAATATTTGAAACTCCACTTAAATCAACTTATTTTCCATGAACCAACTATATATAGAGTTAGACAAATGCTGCATTATCTGCTACGACTGCCAAGAACAGTCATCTGGTAGAGAGAATGATGATGCGATCAGAGGAACTGATTAGGTCACATGAACAAGTAAACATTTTGAGCCAAGAACACGAACAAGATCAAATCAAAGACCTCCACTCTGATTATGCAATTTACTTTGCCTGCTGCGTTGGCCCTTTACAACTTGTTGAGCCTATATGAGCAGATTGCTTCATATAAAAATTTGGGCCAATATCAATATCCAATATTAATATTACTGCAATGACCAATGCCCAATATTTAGGATATTGGGGCGACGGGGGTGTGAATTCATCCTATAATCAGTGGGTTGACAAATTCCAACTCCACTCTGTCTGGCTTAATTGTGTCCTTGAGCAAGACGCTTCACGTGCTCCGCCTGCTTATGGTGGTCAGAGGGTTTGGAGGCGCCGATGCATGGCAGCCTCGCTTTTGTCAAATTGTCTCAAAACAACTGTGGCTACAATGTAGCTTACCACCATTGGTGTGTGAATAAATGTGGCATAAAACATTTTGTCGTCCTCTAGACTTGATAAAGCCCTAGAAAAGTACAGGCTATTTGCAATATCTATATTTCCCCGACACTATGACAAAAATTAAAAAGCCACACCGCTAACTTTAACACTCCTTCCAAACCACAAATGGAACAAGATAGAAATAAATATTGACTATTAATACCAGCCTAGTTTTAATTATCAGACCAATGCATTAAAAAATGACTAACATGTTATTGCCGTTCTATCGACCATCTCCAATTTCTGCCATCCACCTTCAATTCTTACTCCCTTTGACAAAACCCAAAAATCTACAATGCAAAAATAATATTTTTTACAGCGCTGCACTTTTTAAAAAACTTCATTTGCAGCAATCCTGCATTTAAAAAAGAAAAGGCCCCTCTAAACATGTACTTTACAGTGAAAGATCGTGTGTGGTTTACATTTTTTTTTTTTTTTTTTTTGCGTAGACACCGTGAAACTCTCATAACTGCCTAAACTCCAATGATAAATCCCGTTCCCACAACATGCCGCATCATGGCATCATGCCCTGTACCCTTCTCGAATGCTGTGTGACCGTGTGTGATTGAAGATACTCAGCCACTAATGGAAGATTACTGATGTTAAGACCGCTTACACAACAATGTTGAACTTGTGTGCATGTGTTTGTAATAACATGCGATCAGAGATTCTGAGAACCATCAACACTGTCGATAATAAAGACGGCACAAAAAAAGAAAAAAGAAAAAGACGGGCTGATGGCAGTGAAGGAAACCAGCTGCATGACTGTACAATGACTGGGCCAAGGTCAGTGGTACAGCAGCTTTATATAGCGCAACATGGGAGGCAGGAAATAGACGTTTAATGTAGGACACACCCTACAGTTAAAAGCAGGTTAACTGCAGGACCAGAGCCATTAGAAGACCACCCAGGATTTGCAAATACAGCCCTGCTGTTCCAAACTGCGGCTCGCTCAACCAATCCCGATGACATCTGCTGTTACACGCTCCCCTGCCCCCATCCCACACAGACACACACAGACAGACAGACCCAAACCAAGCACAACAAACCAAGTGACACAAATGATACCTCGCCAGTATCGGTGGGTTACCAATGAGAAGTGCTTACAATGGCAGAAGGTATCCCTGACAAATCCACACACAAACACATACATAGATACGTCAGCAGCTTGTGGCACCATCATTCAGCACCGCCTTGCTCCCCTATCTAACCCGTAGTGTGTGAAGGGCATCGAGCTGACCTGTGTGTGTGTGTGTGTGTGTGTGTGTGTGTGTGTGTGTGTGTGTGTGTGTGTGTCCGAGTGTTTGTGCGTGTGTGCAAGTGTGGCCCCAGTGGAGTCTGATAAGGGGAGGCTATGGGAAGCAGGGACTGAAGTGTTGGATAATGGAAAAGCTTATCTGATCGATGGACCAACAAGGAACACTAAGCATGCAATACACACACAGCACACACACACAGAACCCGTTTACCAAACTAGGGCCTGGTGGAAACCGTACTGTTATTGGTAATAATTATGACCCGAGGGCATCCACCTTTCAATGACAAAGATTAAAAGTGTCGGACCCTCAGAGTTCCTTACGCTAAAACTTTTTATTGCTCTGTCAAAGCTCCACAGTCACTTAGTAATGATTAAAGTTTGTTGGAGCGGGGTGGGGGGAGGGAGGGCGGGAGCTTTGGGATGGGTTACCGAGAGACTCCAAGACGACCCCCCACACCCCTTCTGTTTTTTTGGTGCCGTCTTGTTTCTGATCAAAGGGTTTGAGGGCTAAGCAAACAAAGACGGGTCTAAAATTACACACTCCGAAAACGACTCGAGTTGTGGCACGCAAGCGCACAGAATAGTCGCCTGATTGATGGGGTGCTCCGAGACTGGCGCTGGTGTACAGTATTATCTCAATAATCATAAGATAATGTCTCTCAGTTCCGCGGCCACCCACTGCGCTTCTCGGCGTGTCCTGGTGTGCACGCCATCGAGGTGTGTCAACATAAAGATGGTGGAAACAGCTGACAAAGCCCCAATTATACTGCTGGCTGTTCCTATTCTCTAAATAGATTGTGGATCATCAGCAGAACGCGGTGGAACCGCGATAAATTACTGTATTTTTACACAACCGCCGGCTGTGTTTGTTGTTTTAACACAAGAATATGGAAACTAACCCAGTGTTAAACTGTAATATTCCATGGCCAGTAGTAAAACAGACCTTGTCACTATCTATTCAGATGATTTTTGCTCGACTGCATGGGTGTGTGTGTGTGTGTGTGTGTGTGTGTGTGCGTCAGCGTGCACCCACCCACTCCGACCCTGAATAAAGCCCCAGTCTTAACCAGCCGTCTCCACTCCTACCCTCGGACTTTCACATAAGGGAGTGAACTGGAAATGCGTGGCTGCCAGAAAGGAGGAGTCAAGACAGAATCAAGATGGAATCAGGCCAAAATGATGGAGGACGGCAATATTAAGAGCATAATGCAGCACATGCACAGTTTAGTCAACTTTTATTGATCCTCGTGAATTCACCATTAAACTGAATGTAACCAAATGTGGCACGACGAGGGGAGGAGAAGGCTAGTTTATAGTTCACCAAAAGACCACTGAATTATACAGAGGAACAAAGTGTGAGGAAATAGCAGTCACTGAGTTGTGACTGGATAGAGCTAGGGATTTTGTGGTGACTTTTTTTTTTTTTTTGCAGGATGCAATTTAAACACACCCTCAGGCTACAGAACTTCATGAATAGGACAGAAAATCAAGAGCAGAGGAGAGCAAAGCCAAGGAGGAGAGGAAAAGGGGGAAATGAGATAGTGCCGAGGGAGAGAGAGAGAGAAAACAGTTGGTGAAGAGAAGAAGTGACAATGTAGGAAAGACGAGAGAAGAAGAGGAAGAAAAGGGCACTGAAGAATGTCAAACATGGTTTGTCAACAGCGGTTTTTAAGTACTGTAAATGGAACAGTGGTGGTTACTTTAAATTTCTAAACATACTTTAAAAACAAAACTCACCTCTCCTTGGAAGCTCTTCAGCAGAGGGGCAACCTGTTTCCGTAAATCCTAGAAAATAAAATGCAGAGGGATTAGCAAACAATGAAAATCTGCTAACATTTTAGCATTAAAACGAGACATTTCCCGACTGGTGATCTGGCGATTTTCAGCCAAAATCAGCTCTGATTGGAAACTAAGCAAAAATAAAATCTGATCTTTTGCCAGTCAGTGAACACACCACACATTACCGCTACCAGCTTGCATCGACGACCCTGTGTGGAAGTGGTTACTGAGGGAAGCATTTAAAGTTTACTGCGTCTTCAAAAGGGAAGAATATCAAAAGGTGAAAGACGCTGAAAAGAGGAAACCAGCATTATCTTACAAAGACACGTCAACTGCTTTCTTCACGTATCTACAGTGGGTTGGATATCAACAGATAACAGGAAGCTAAAGACGTTACAGCAAAACTGTTATACTTGATTATTTTCAGAGTCTAACTGGGACCGTCATGGGACATGCTGTAACAGGACAGGTTGGCAAACCTTTGGAAATAACACAGGTAGTTAGGTCTACTTAATGAGGAATGCACTCAAACTACTGTGTTTACGCCAACCATACTAATCTCATTAATATTAGAGGCTACAGAGTTTGAAATGTTGGCTCTTTTTTTTTTTCATAATCGTTTGTGAAAATGAGTGAAAATGTGTTCAAAATCAGAACTGCGTAATGACAATTGTTTCTTCATGCACACAGTGTGACATCACCCTGGTCACATTATAAATAAGGATCAAGCACTTAATGTTCTCTACAGCTACATTAAAACATTTTTCTGTTAAATCTAATATGTTCAGACAGAATATTTTTCAATGGATCTTGTAGGGAAAAATATCTGGCGAGATATTTCAAAATGTTCAAAGAGATAAATAGTGATTTTAGACAGGTTTTATTTATTGATACTTCTGCAGGATTTCTCTGTATTCATGGATTTACGTAGTGGCTGAGGGAGACAGCGCTGTAACTTTGAGCCGCTTATGAAAAAGTCAGTTTATTTTCCAATTTCTCTTGAGAATGGAAAACAATAACATCTCATTTAAAAAAATAAAATCAGTTCCCACAGAATCTCTAATTGGTGTCTCTGTTAGTAAGATATCTGTAAATTTAAAAAGGAGGCTGGGATGTACTGAAGCAGCACAAACCAAATCCAACAGAACACTGAAATACATCAAATCCTAGATTCAAAGAGGCAGCCATTCTTCTTGCAGCCAATAAATCCACTGTAGTGTGTGAGTGATGAACAGAGTGGGGGGAAAAGGCCCAGTTTTATACCCTGAGGTGCTTCACCGGACTGTGTTTCTCATAAGAACAGGTGCAGCACCACCTGGGCCACCCAGAGGCACCGCTAGTGCGTGTGATTCAGTGGCGAAAGGAGCCATGGAGCAGGCCTACAGTTAATGCAAATTGTTTTAGTGGCACACCAGGGTTTTTTTCCCCCTCCCCATTTCTCTTACAACAAACCAAATGCATTTCATCCTTCAGGTCCGGTATGGTATGACTTTCCAGTACGAATCAGCAGTTTCAGATTAGATAGCCAGTCTTGTATGTATCAGGGGAACATGCAAATCACCATGCTGTTAGCCAAGCCTGCATCCTGACAGACTGAACTGGAGCGTGCGGTAAAAAGCTCAGCAGAATAGGACATTATGTGCAGAAACATTTGATTTGCACAGTGTACGGATGCAAACACAAACACAAAACCGGCTAATGAAGACGTTAAGTAGGGCAACAGCAGCTGTTTGAAGAGGACAATCTGCACCTTTTCTAAAACCTGCAGCCAAAACGCCAAGGGGGAAGTGTGGGGTAGCAGGCATCCCGAGCTGACCTGTGACCGGCGTCTGGGGCTGGACTAATCTCGAGTCGGTCCAGACAGGCCGTTTGTCTGGGGCTTAGGACAGGTCAGGAGTCTGTGACCCCGCTTCATTGTTGCCTCATTAGGGGTCGGATCGGCCGTTTGTCTGGGCCAATTCAAATATTCCCCAGTCGTGGGTAATGACCTGCACCCTCTAACCCCGCTTGTCCAGCCCAGGGTTGCCTCACGCCCAAAACCACCAGCATAAGTGGCTGTTACAAAATTTGCATCAGATTGTGATTATGCCCCACCTCCACACCCCATTTCGGCATGCATTTGAGATTACCTATACATGCTGCGGTTTGGATGACAACGGTTTACCCGTTTAATTTAGCTTCAAAATATTAGTACACTTAAGTCAACCTTTTATTTTAAAACTCCACTAAGAGGCATAAAATTATTTTTAGATCAATATCTATAGTTAGGAGGTTGTCATCTCTTCCAGGAAAGTCTATTAGCCCTGCAATAATTGCTTACAGCATGAAAATCCCAATCTTCAGATTCTATTTAGCAAGTGCTCACATGACGGAGTTGGAAGTTATGCTTTTCTGAAGCAAATTACAGGATTCCTAGAAATGTTAAAGGTTCTACTCTTTCCCAGACACAAATGTTCATGTTTTTCAACTAGTCTGTGTAAGAGATTGGACAAAAAAAAAAAAAAAAAAAAAAAAAAAAAAAAAAAAAAAAAAAAAAAATTTTTGGGGGGGGGGGGGGGGTATTATTTTTTTTCCCCGCGCCTGTTGTT